CAATAATCATTAACAGCGTGATATACACAATTATTAATTTTTGTTTCCATGGAAAATATTCGAATCTGTTCGTTCATTCCGAACTTCTGTTTTTGCAAGTAAATTAAAATAAGTTTTGAAAAGATTTCTAACAACGATGTATATGACAAACATTCAGTCGCATCTGACAATTAAAGAAATTCGTAAAACTGTCCTTCGTCCATTCTCGATGACATTTCAGAATCTTGACGTCCTCTTTTTTATGGAAACCTTTTTCTATTTCAATCAGTAACTCATTGTCATTGCTAGTCGATCTTCGAGAAATGCGTTTCGAAAGCACTCAGCAACAAATAATTATCAAATATTTATCGATGCTCATTTAATCAATTTATTCAAATTTATGGAATGACCCATTATCCCAATAAAATGGTGCTAAAGCGGGAGAGATTGTTTGACAGAGATCGATTGATCCACCCGAATTACTTTTTAGATGAAAGTAAGTTGCATAGATGTAACGAACAATGGCGACTTTAATGCTTGTTACCTTCGTGCTTCCAGCGGTTCAGCCCTGAAGTTTTTTCCTTTAATTTGTGGAAATAAATTCGAGAAATATTATCTGAACACTGACAATTTCTTGACTAAAGGACCAAAGTGGCACGAAGAGGGAGAAAGACTTAGAAAACAGAATCAAATGCAACTCGAAGTGATCGAGTTCTCGTAATTCTTCTATCTCCTTCGTATATCTGTTTCATTTGGAAGATTATTTTTGCATCCTTTCGATGGTATCGTTAACGCAATGTGATATTTAAATATGTCAAGTCGAGTAATGAACAATGTCTACAGAGTCATAGTTGTCTGTTAGCTCGATCTCGACCTTTCATTTCCAACAACCATCCGAACATTATTTTTGAATAGAATTAATTATTGTCTCAATGAGTGATCGAAACACAATTCCAGTAAGTTTATATGCCTTTTTCTTGCATTTCGTAACATTTCAACGACTTTTTTAGCCTGAAATTTCTCGAAACATCTTAAGATTAACTTTCAGATAATGTTGGATTTAAGAAGATGGACAGCTACTCTGTCCGGTGCTTCTTTACCGAAGATTTCCATTAGGAGTATGCTAAAAAACCGGGAAATAGGTCGACGTGGAGGGCCAACAAATCGTCGTCTGTCGTTTATGCCAAATACATCCAATGCTTCTGATTGGCCAATAAGTTATCAGACATCGTCTACGTCAAATACATTTAACGCTTTCACACTGAGTGAGAAAGCCAACCTTGTTAATAGGTCGTTAGTTCATCTGAAGTTTAGTTTAAATAATCAGAGGAAGAGAAATCAAGCTGTATTAGTAATGGGTTCCATTATTCACATAATATGATGTTATCATACTATGTCCTGAGATGCTACGTTTTTATCCAAACATAGCACGTCGTTACTTGAGATTTTTCCTTAAATAAGTATGTGATTTCTTGTAGTTTGCCTAAATTTTAATAGCATCAATTTTAATTTCAGATTTCTTCCCAACAAATGGATAGATATCGATCGGCTTGATTCGACATTATTCCGTTGTATACATTTGCCTGAAGAGAAGCTTGTTTGTATAGGCCAAGGTAAACGTCAGTCACTGGAATATTTCTTCCCATTTTTTTGCACTATCATTTGATCAAAAAAAATTTCCGGAGTACTTAAAGATAAGTGAAATAGAAGTTTTCAATATCAAAAGCATAATATTTTAGAATCGAAGATCTCGCCGGATCATGAGAAATAGCTGTAAACCGGAAATTCACATCTACAATATTATTGTTTAAAATGGAACAGAAAATGAAGAAAAAAAAAACTTTCGGCTGAAAGCTTTGTCACTGATTTTAACATCATTAAGCTACTTCCATATATAAAATAACTTTTAAGTGACATTTTCTTTTAATAATTAATTTGTAAATTCTTTCAGAAAAAAATTTACGCCTTTATGTCCGTCGACCACCATACTATCAATTTGTCTATGAAACTCATATTCCAGATGATGGATTTATTACTGATCTTGCTTGTAGTACAAAATGTGATCAATTGGCTTATGTTACGTCTAATGCATGCGGTATCCTTTCTTTTTATTATTATTATTTTTATTGTATTATCATTATTACTATTGTTATTATTATTAACTACTAATTATCAGTTATCATTATTATTAAAATTATCAATATCACTATATCGCTATCACTATTACTGTCATTATTTAGTTGTATTGTTTTCCGTTATGTGACAAAATTTTATTTTATCTGAAGTATTTAAGTTAATTTATTATTAATTTCGTTGTGCAAATAATTTAGCTCGCCGTTCGAGAAGTGGTCCATTTCGTCACCGATCCGCTACAAGCAGTAATCATTCTTCAGTCGATGCTTATTTCAATCATTCTATAATGACAAAATTTCATTCCTCGTTTCTGCAATTAATTAATTTTATCATTGCTTTCCGCATGGAATGAAATATTGGCGTTTAATTTTAAATTTTGCAATAATAGATTTTTTGCAATAACAATATATATGAATCAAATAATATATATGAATCGATTTTTGCATAATAATATATATGAATCGATTTTTGCATAATAATATATATGAATCGATTTTTTGCAATAATAATATATATGAATCGAATAGTTCGCACAAAAAGTTATTTCTTAAATTCTCTTGATTGGCTGAATATTTTCTTATAAATTTCAATGCAGACAAAAATATGTAAAAGAATTATTGTTATTATAGTATTTTATTGTTCTCTTAATCAAATTGACGAAGGAATATTGCGATGGAATAGATTTCAACCGGAACAAGAAACATTAAGCAGAAGGCGGTTGGTCATTTTACGGATGCTTCAGGCGGATATTTCAACGATAATATTTAATTAACTTTGAAAATTCTGAACACATCGATGAGAATTTTTCATTTTTAATGAAGAATCAATTTTTCGATTCTAATTCGTTTATTTTTAATTGTTAAAATTTAAATGGATAAAAAAATTTTAGAGAGGAATATTTTTCTATTAGTTATACTATGGATGATCAATATTTTGTAATTGGAAAAACAGACGGTAATATAATCATCGTTGGAACAGATGAATCCACCTATTATTCGGTATATTTCTTCTTTAATTTAAATTTCTTCATTCACTATCCATTGGTAATATTTGCATAATATCGTATATTTTACTGACTTGCCAAAATTCTCCTTCTCCTCATAATTTTTAGATGGAATAATATAAGATGCAAAAATAATTAAAGTGAAATTAACAGTAGTTTATTCAATTTTACTATTACAGTTTGTGGCTCACGATAATGACATTAAAGCAATTTGCTGCTCTAAAGCTAATCCAAGCATTTTTTATAGTGGATGTAATGATGGTTTTTGCAAGGTAAATGAATTTATTCCATCACGACAATTAATGAAGTGAGGCAAACAAAAATAGAAATATCTCTTCAGAGTTCAGCAATGATAAAATTGTAATTATATGAATAAGTAGATAAAACCTATCATGATCACTTTATTAATATGAATTGATTTAAGATTGAAACGGGACAGTTATTATTATTATTATTATCAAATATAATATTATATTTAGATGTGGGATTACCGTACCTCAAATAAATGCATTCCTCTTGCAACATCCTCTGGAAATAATTATGCTATTACACATATCGACAGTGATAGCTATGACAGATATATTGTGACAACTTCTGGTGGAGTAAAATTTGATATTTGGGATGTACGACGATTTTCAGAGGTACTTTTAAATCCCATCACATAATGAAGAACATTTTCTTGTTGAACATTAGTATGAAATTAAAGATAGATGTATGCCTGAGAATTCTAATTATTATGATAGTTTATGGTTATAAATTTAACCAGATAAATGTGATCGAGATTTGAAATCAGAAAAAGGAAAAGTTCAAGCATTTTAGAATGCTTGTAAAGTTATGAAATAAATTAAGCATAATTCATCAGTACAATCATTTACAACATTTACTGAATATCATTTGTTTCGTAGTATTGAATTGTAAAAGACTTCCGACAATATAATTCGCTTTCTCTTGCTGCATTTTCTATACCTCATGGAATAATTTACTTCCAGAACATCTCATTTAATGTGCAACAGCGGAAAAAGACAAATTTATTGGAGGAAATTTCATATTTCGATAGAGGTCATCATTACGCGTAAATTTATTTTGTGCAAAGAAATTATTTTAATTTTGAAAAAAAAAAGAAATTTCGACTAAAACGTTAATTTATTTTCATTATTATCGTATTTTTAAAGTGATGTTATTAAATTCATAAATATCTTTAAATAAATAATATTCTATTATTAGCAATGACAGCCGAAAAAGATAATCTGTCGGCAGTTTTCTGGCAAGCTAAATTTTCACCGCGGAATACCGGACATCGTTACGTTTATTGTGGCAGCAATATTGGACGCATTAGCTGTAAGTTTCAAAAATATTTAATTATGTTTATTTCTTAAGAAGGAAAAATTGTAATATCGAAATATCTATTTTTAGTTTTTGATATTATAACTGGTGAAGTTGTTCGAGAATTCACTAAAGATTATCGTGAAGTGTACGATTGCAGTTGGCATCCAAATCAGAACGAAATCGTTAGTGTGTCGGTAAGATCAATTAATTGTGTATAATTTAGTAATATAAATAAAAGAGATGATTGATATTTATTAGTAAAATAACAAATTATTTTCATAGAATCGGATTACTTTTATTAATATTAAAAACTTGAATATTATAAAATTTTCGAGTATTTAAAGATGTTTGTATTTGCATAATTTTAACTTAATCATTAATCGGATTTGATACTTTTTTTGCTTTATGGTATATTTGTAGATAAATTTTAGATTCAAAATTGGCTTTGGATAGCCTTTAGATAAGCTATTCATTTCATCAAATTATGCAAATGAAAGAATTTATAGAAAATCATTTAAAACAGAAGTAATGTATCTTAATGTACAAATAAGTGGATAAATTGAAATAAGAAAAAAAAAGCCCGAAGATTAAAGTAAAATGAAATATTGCCAATAACACTATAAAATTGATTATGCTTATCAAAAATAAATTAAGGATATATTTGACTGATAAATATAACTTAGAGAGTATAATATTGCTTATTTAAAAATAAATAAATCATTTTTATTTTTTTTTCATTTTTCTTTTCATATTGCGCAGTATTTTAATAATTTGATCAATAAAGTTTTTTAAACTGACGAATTGAAACGAATGAATTGTTAGTTTGCTACGATAAATTTAGAATAATCTTAATATTATTACTTTAAATTGATCATCAACTTCCTTTTAAACTATCCGTTTCAGTTACAATAATAATTTTTGATTAGTATTTTATTAATATACTTTTTTAATAGTACTTACCTTTTTTGAGTCAAATTTAATTATCAAATGCCCAATCTTTGATAAGTCTGTATTTGTTTAGCGATATGCTCTGGGACTAGTACGGTTTACTAATAGCTGAGATAGGCGCAGATGTCACATTATGCTTATTATTTGCTCAATTTTAATGTTTCAAATAATTGATTGCTTTGAACTTATTTGAAATTGTCAAAGTGCTTTTAGCTAATGATTTTTGTTCAATTTTATAGAATTGTATCGATTTCTCTGTTTCCAATAATTAATTATTTTGAGATAGTACAATATGTTGTATATGAATGCTGATGTCTTTCCAAAGGAATTTGGAATTATTTTGCAATGATATTGAAATATTAAATATTTCAATCGTTTTTTTAATAAAGTCATTTGAAAATGAAATTAACAAATTCTTATATAATTATTTTTCGCGTTATATAAATGAGCAAATTATTTTATCTTTCAAGTGAATTAATTTCTACTTCGAATTTTTAACCAAAATTGATTTGAAATGTGCAAATTTGTCAGTGAAATTTTACAGTTTATATTATTTTCAAACTCAGTGGTTGGAACTTTTTTCCAAGAATATCTTGCACATAAATGGTTGATTGTTGAATTTGGTATTTCGTTATATTATTATTGTGAATTTAAATTTTCATTTAAAATTCTCAAACTTCGTCGAACTGTCTAGTCTTTCATGATTTCACTCCAAAACAACTAAGATTAATTCTTGAATTGTTTTATTTTTTTCTGAGCTGTTCGAACAAATCCTTCATTGCTATGATTAAGATAGAAGTTTTTGACATGTCAAAATATTTCTACGTAAAGTATTTTTGAGTAAAATGTTAGCATAAAGTTTTATGTACTAACAACATTGAATTTATTAGAAATATCAATTCAATAATTTTAATATTATCAATGAATGATATAAATTATTGTTGTTATTCCATTCAAGAAATGCAACAAATCATTGATTACCAATCAAACTCTTTTAATATGATTTATTTCGAGAATAAAGTGTTCGGAGATTATCATTCAAATGCAATCCATAATCAATATTCCTATAAGTAGTTAAAAATATACTTATCGGAAAATAGAATCTTCACTATCACTCTTTCGCTGCTTTCAAATAAAGCAAATTAAACGAAATCAAATTAAATGAACCAATCAACACTTAGAATTCTTATTAGTAGTTAACATCTTAAATATTGTAATCAAACAAATGCATTATTCATTCTAATCGATAAAAAGCAATGCGGGTAATGACCATTGTCAAAGCTTAAAACAGCATTACTGCACAGTTTCTCTCAGACATTGTCTGAGATTTTCATTAGATCGGTGAGAAAATTTATCGACAGATCTGATGTACAACAAATGAGTGGCCATTTTAGCCCCGCTTTTATTCTATCATCTCTTTTACCAATTTTGTAAAATTTCCATTTGAATTGTTACATATATAAATTGAATTGCATTCTCAGAATAAATTAAGCGATATGCTTCAATATGATCAACAATATTTGCTCAATGTATAGAGCATGATTTTATTCATATCATATATACAAAATCAAAATCAAAATCAAACAACTTCTAAAAATAACTTTGAAATGAGAAAGAAATCATACCATATATAAAATCATATAATATGCAAGCAATTGACATCACATAATAAGTTTTTTTTCCTGTTTCATTTTTTTCATTTCTATTTCATATCACTATTTAACTGTCTATGATAATTGTACTAAAATTATTCTCTAAAGAGTAATAAGGCTTATCATTTCAACAAATGATTAAATTAATGTAAAAATTCAGAAAAAAAAGTGCCGTCGGATGAATTTGCGAGATGAACTTGATTTTTGATCATTTCACACCATGTGATCATGTCATACAATAATTTGCTTCAAAAATTTGTGAAAAAAATAAATTACAGTTACAAAAAAAAGCATAAAAAAGATCATGCTATGTTACAACTATTGAACTGAAATTTATACATTCGAAATATATATGATATTTTGAAATACAGCATTTGGAAGATAGCTATATAAATAATATTTTTACAAAAAATGTTAGTATATGCGTAAAACAAAGTGAAAAATTAACACTGATAAACGAAAGAACTGATCGTGTGATCTGAGAAATAAACAAAAATTACGCACGCAAAAATAATTTCGTAATTTTGAAAGATTGTAGTAATAATAATAGTAATAATAATGACAGATATCATTAATAAATATCATCATTTTCTTTTTCGCCATAATACCACCTGCATGTTGCACCACATAGCTAAATATTTATCGGAATGTATCTGATATTTGAAATCTGTTAATGTGAAGATCATATCAATAACATTGAATCTTACCGCTGTGCTAATAATTTCGTTATCATTTGGATGCCAACTACAATCGTGTATTTCTCTTCTGCATTTTCGAAATGATCGAATAATTTCACCCGTCATAATATCAAAAACTAAAAAGAAATTAATACTTTTAAAAAGTTGATTGATAAAAAATAACTTATTTAAATTAACAGATAAAAGTACACTCTATAACTTACTATAAATATATCCGATACTGCTACCACAATAAATATACCGATGTCCTGTTCTTTTCGGTGAAAACTTAGCTCGCCAAAAAATCTCCAGCGTATTTTGCACGTTCATTTTTAGTGCTAATGAAGTGTGTGTTTTAGTTTAATTAAATATTAATGACAATATTAATAATATGAAATGTCTTATATCTACGTAATACCTTCTTTTATTTAGCTATTAAATTATTTCATCTAATCCAATTGCTAATTTGATTTCAAAATTAGTTATAATGAATTTTCATGTGGACGAAATAAATTTACATGTAATGATGACCTGTATCAAAATATTCTCTTTCTCTGTGTTGATTCATTTCCTCTCGTTGTACATTAAACAGGGGATTCTGAAAATGAATTACACTGCAGAAACACAACAGCAAATTTTCCAATCCTAAGTTATGTGTGTTTGCATACGTAATTATGCATAATAAGATTTAATTTGAACCTCGGAAAATCGTCGTAAATCCCAAATTGTAATTCCTCCACCGACAGAAGTTGTTACAATATATCTATTATAACTGTCACCATCGATATAATTTATACAATAGCCATCTCCATCGGATATCGCAATCGGAATATTATTATGAAGCGCACGACCATCCCATAGCTAAAAGTGATAATTTAGGCTATACCAATAGTAATAGCTATTTTATCAGTAATAGTATCTAACTCTTTCAATAGTTGTTGAAATAATTTGTTCATGTAATAAATTTCTGCTCATCTGATTGTCTTTATACTTCTTCAATGAAAGTTTTATAATTACAAATATGAATAGGATGATCAAATTGTTACTTTACTACTTTATTTGTCACTAAAAAATTTTTTTTTCACTTTCTTGTGTGTTATTATGTTTTTTCATGTTTTATTATATAAAAAATTTCTAATTATAGATTTCAATTAACTGCAAAAATTATATTGATCGTTAATTTCTTGCAACGATATTTTTTTCTTCTTCAAAATCTTACTTCTATCGTGCATGATCTCGAGTATCCTAAACATTTTGTGTATGATATTTACGTGTTATCATATATTGGATATAAAAAATATATTGGATATAAAAAATTCTTTTACTTTACAGTATCCATCGACACTTCCACTACAAAAAAAATATGTGTCAGCCTTTGAACAATAAATTGCTTTGACGTTACCGTGATGAGCAGAGAACTACAAAAGTATTTTCTATTAAATTTCAATTTTCATATTTTTATTCTTGAATTTTATAACAAACACAGCGCAGCATTACAGCGAATTCAGTCAATCCTTTTATTATTTCTCCAAATTTTCAAATATTTGCATAATGTTTGCTGATATCATGCAATTGCTTCCAATCATATCGTGCTGAAATATAGCATTGGATTTTGAAGGAAATTCAACCAATAGAAAATTTCACTGAATAATGAGAATATTGGCTGGTACCGATGATGCTTATATAACCACCTGATCCGCCAACTATAACATATTCATCATCTAACGTATAGCATAAGCTGAAATACGATTCCCTGAAATTTTTTTTAACTGCTTAGAAATTCCAAATTTTGAGAATAAAAAAATTGTAGCTAAATTAATCGAAAATTTAAATATTCACAGCAACGTACCATCCTTTAATCATTGGTAATGGTGTTGTGTAAAATTCTCTCCAATTTAAGTTATCCTCAATTTGATCTATCACACAGTGATAAACTAC